TTGTGTTTTTGAAAAGCCTCACTTGGTCTGCAAAACTATCCAGGTGCAGCAGCCAAGAGCCCAAGATTTGTACCACTTGCTCGGCATACTTGGAAACAGCCGTGCTGTTATTGGCTCCCTCCTCCTTGCATAACTGCTCAATGTACCGCTTGGCCTCCTCGCGATCTAAGTCACCAACGCTGGCAAACTCGGCCCTCAGTTCGTCCATACCAATCTCCAACCCCATGGCAGCTCGTGATGTCGACAGGACCACGATGGGACGCACGAGTGCCTCATCGTGTCCCCAGTCTTTCAGCGTGAGAGCCAGCTCCTCAAGAGCTTTCGGTGACGTGAACCGCTCGTTCACCTCCACTACAAGAACAGGGGGGTGCTCCAAGCTCCCTGGATTCCTGCGGATTTCCTTCAGTGCATTCACCACAACCTCGGTGTGGTCCACTTGCTTGTTTGTGTGTAGCCCCAAAGACTCGGTGATGGCACAAGCAAGCTTTTGATGCAATTGACTCTCCCCAGCAAGTGTTACAACCACAACCCCCTTCTTGCCTTTCAGAGTCTCCCTGACTGCTGCCGTCTTTCCACTTCCGCGTGGGCCACAAACCATCACTGTCTTTTGCTTTTCCTTGGAGGCAAAAATGTTCATGATGTTGGGCAGGCCACCCCTTGTGATGTACAGAGAGGGTTTCTTCGCTGGGTAGGTTGACTCGAGGATCTTCTGTTTGAGGTCGTTTTGGAGCCCCGGGCCAAACCGTTGGTTGTACTCTTTCCATGCCAACTGCAAACCCAACACAGTGGCCATGCTTCCGACAGCAACAATGACATTAGTGATCATTGGCCTTTGGGAGATTGGCATCGGGGAGGTTGAGGAGGTTGTATTGCCACGTATAGGTTTAGTCGAAGGCGGCCGGCCTGAGTTGTAGAGTTAGCAGACGAGAGGCTCGCAGGGAAAACATCCTGACAGCTGGGGTTTGCAAAGTGATACGAAAGAAGCTTTGAGGAGCTATCAATATGTGCCGTTCGGCAGCTTCAACAGCATGCTTTTATATCCACCTGTTGTGAACAAATTGGAGAGAGGTGTCTAACTGATCATGAGACTGCTGTACGTACACTACCACAGAGCTTTTGACCATGGCCAAAAAGGAAGTTTTGCTCTGTAGCTACATCGTTACTTTGCAGTAAAAGTGACGCATGTGTATATAGTGTAAAAACACACCTATCACATTTTCAAAAAACCTCACATGACATGAGGAATGCCATAGTTCTCTGTATAACACAACACATTACATCTCAGAGCAACTGTTTTCTCTCACATATTATAGCCACTTTCTCAAACCAACATTGAAATGATGAGGATGCAGTTCAATGCTGTACACAACGTGCTATCTACTGGTCCTAGTCTGTTCCAGTCTGGAATGAAAATAGCGCATTCCTAGGACTGTTGCCAGTAGCAACACAGTCCCCAGCACCAGTAGGGATATGGAGGCGGGGTCAAAGATGGCAACACCCCAACATTAGACCTGACTGGACACAGAGAAAGTTGTAGGGCAGAAGACATGTGTGTGTGTGTGTGTGTGAGTGAGAGAGCTCATTTCCAGCAGCAGACACATCACACCTCTCCCAACATACTTATTCAGACAGGTAACATGTCACCCACAACAACAGACATTGCACACTGTATCAGCTGGAGAGGAACAATGAACTGTGTATATAATAGTGCATGCATACATCAGTATATCTTTTTGTGTGATAGAGTGTGTATATGTATAGGTTTGATGATGGCAAGTGTGCTCTATGAGCGCGCAGCACAATAGAGCATACTTGAAACCTGCTTGGTACATGTCTCTCTACAGAATGATGAAGTGCAAGCCCTCGGCGCACTGTTACGCGCACGCGTAAGTAAACGCATGCGCAGTACCACTATTATTGATGGGCCGGGTTTAGTTAGTTCTCGTGGTCTCTTACCAGCTCGCGCAGAGTCTGATGCGGGCTAACTACACTATAGATAGCATGCGAGAGGCGATAGACGCCCTGCGTTGCATCTTCTGCTGCCTCCGAAGTACGCAGAGCACGCGGATCGATCCGACTGTGGTAGCCATTGTCCGTTGTGTATTTGCATATTGGCTTTTTCGCGCTCTAGCTTTGCAACGGAGCAGTTTCAGAGAAAAGAGTATAGGTTTGATGGCGGAAGGTGTGCTCTATGAGCGCGCAGCGCGAATAGAGCATACTTTCCGTCATCAAACCTACTTGTACGCGTCTCTGTAGTAACATGGATGGCGCCCTTTTTAGGAAAGTGTTGTGTAAGCGCTTGACAGTACACGCACAATGCCTGAATTCCCTATAAGGAAAACCAAGTGGGCCACTATATGGGTGTCGGTTAGGAAGTAGCTCAGCCCACTGCTGGTACAGCTACAAGCCAATAAATCATACCTCATAATGCGTCGTTGCCGGTAACGTGTACCAAATAGTGCATGCATAGTCAGTATATCTTTTTGTGTTAAAAGAGTATTGTGTGATAGAGTGTGTATATATAGTGCATGCATAGTCAGTATATCTTTTTGTGTTAGAATATTGTGTGATAGAGTGTGTATGTATAGTGCATGCATACGTCAGTATATCTTTTGTGTTAAAAGAGTATTGTGTGATAGAGTGTGTATGTATAGTAGGTTTGCCTTGCCCTTGTGTTGTGTTGTGTTGTAGATTCGAACCCCTACCAGCTGAGTTGCCATGGTAGCTCGCTCGCCTGATAGCTCAGTTGGTAGAGCGCTCACCTAGACAGCAGAGTGTCGTGGGTTCGAATCCCACCTAGGGCAGCTCTTTATTTTTTCTTGGAAAAAAAGAGCTGTCCTAGGTGTAGTTGATTTGTTTGTTGTGCCATTGCCTTTCTACTTCATAGTTTTCACATGCATAGTCAGTATATATATCTTTTTGTGTTAAGAGTATTGTGTGATAGAGTGTGTAATCCCACCTAGGGCAGCTCTTTATTTTTTCTTGGAAAAAAAGAGCTGTCCTAGGTGTAGTTTTGATTTGTTTGTTTGCATTGCCTTTCTACTATAGTTTTCCATGCAGTCAGTAATATTCTTTTTGTGTTAAGGTATTGGTGCAGGTGTGTATGTATAGTGCATGCATAGTCGTATATTTTTTGGTTTAGTATGGTGTGATAGAGTGTGGTTATAGTGCATGCATAGTCAGTATATATCTTTTGTGTTAGAGTATGTGTGATAGAGTGTGTATATATAGTGCATGCATAGTCAGTATATCTTTTTGTGTTGAGTATGTGTGTATGAGTGTGATCAGAGCGTCGGTATACGCTCTATATAGGGATGGACGAGTGAAATCTCCGTGATCCACGTACAAAACGCCTCAAACTCAGCGACAATGACTCACCATGGCTTCAAAATCACTAGCCATAGTCTAGAAGGCCAATACCTAGCTATACATATGCCCCAAGACTTCCTACGTGCCTCAGTTCCCCAGGAGAGAGAATTCGCACTTACGCGATTTCGCGATTTTCGTGTCATCATAATCATCATAATATTCTTCTTCTTCTCTTCTTCTTCTTCTCTTCAGACCCGCTAGCTCCTTACCGGAAGCAGTTCAAGCGTTGATTTTTCACAGAACGTCTCCAAATTTGCGGAGGTGTGCACGCATATAAAGCGATCGCTGTTTCTTGCCGCAAGTCACTACGGTAGATCATTCAGCTCTCTCCACGGTAGTCACTGGACAACGCCATTTGCTGCTAACTCAGCATCAGTGAGCCGCATGCGCCGAGGAGGGCGTTTCCCCCCATGCGCGGTGCGCGCGCATTCGTTCGTGAACCAGGTCTACGAGACTAAGCCAGGATGCCTGCAGAGGAACTCTTATATCCTCCAGTGCCTCTGTAAGTCAGTATAAACTGGGCTAGGTTACGTTTTTGCTGTTGATATGTACGAGGAGCAACTTGGCAGTGTACGCCGTGTTACGCGGGCCTTGCCCAGCGCCTTCATTGTTTGTCACCCAGGTTATAGCATCTTGTAGTCTATTACTGAGCCTGCCTACGAAACCACCCCACCGTAGTGGCCACACCTAATTGCATCGTTGTTGGAGACACTAACGCATGACACCTGCTTCAGGTACATTAGCTTCTGCTTTCACAGTATCTCTACAAACATCAGAGTGACTGAAATGCAGAAGGCATGAAAAATAGTGGAAACAAGTGGAAAAATCATTTCTTCAAAATGAAGGGGTGATATAGGGATGGCTTGAAGCACCAAAAAGGAAGAAACAAAGGGTCATTACACAGCAAAGATGCACCAAGCTACATGACACCATCCCTATATCTTTGTGTTATATAATAGTTCACAAGTAAAGTTTACTATGAGACAAAGATATAGGGATGGTGTCATGTAGCTTTGGTGCATCTTTGCTGTGTAATGACCCCTTGTTTCTTCCTTTTTGGTGCTTCAAGCCATCCCTATATCACCCCTTCATTTTGAAGAAATGATTTTTCCACTTGTATATAGTGCATGCATAGTCAGTATATCTTTTTGTGTTAGAGTATTGTGTGATAGAGTGTGTATATATAGTGCATGCATAGTCAGTATATCTTTTTGTGTTTGTCTGAGCAAGCTGGTGGAGTTGTTCTAGCTGACATACCATAGACACTATACACTACACTATAGAATCGTTTTACAAAGACGGACTCCCCACTCTCTCAGAATACCGACAGCCTCAGACCTCCCTCTTCTCACCAAATTTATCACCAAAAAATCTATTATCCTTGTGGAATTTTTGTTACATTTCACCTTATAAACCCTTCTGCAATTTTATCTCAAAGTGATATATACTATTGTTTGACCAGTTCAAACCATTCTCTGAAAAGTGTCTGCCTGAACGAGGAATGATGTAATATTATGTTTGTGTGTGAATGCATACTAACCGGCCAGTTATAGAAGCACAAAGTATGTTTACCCTTTCAGCATGCACGAGTGCCGTGGATTGATAATAATGATGCATGCCAGTCCATGGAGTCTGGTTTTACTCACACCATTGAAATGCATTACACCAGGTATACAATAATATTATACACACAGTTATATACCAAGTTTTAACAGCCTATGTTGAACTGTCACACAGTCACCAAAACCACCACCACCTGCTGGCACGATCGGTGTCAATCACCTTTTGGAAGAAGACAGACCCAACCCTGACTGTCTCTGTTTTCGGGTCTACGTAGAAGGGGTGTGGCTGTATGTCGGAGAGGCCGTCGAGAGCAGTGGCCACATCCTCACCGACCATCTCGCTGAACTCATCCACATCCACCGTCACTCCAGGCTTCTTGAAAAGCCTATACAGATCCTTCTTGTTTGCATTCGGGAAGCGCTTGTGAAACTTTTTCAAGGCTCTCCTGCTGCCTTTGAGCATTTTGGCTTCGGGTTCAGATGCCAACGGCACCAGATCTTTCAAAGACACCTGCTGCTGGTCCCTTGTGTTTTCGGACCTCACTTTGTCTGCAAAACTATCCAGGTGCAGCAGCCGAGAGCCCAAGATTTGTACCACTTGCTCGGCATACTTGGAAACAGCTTTGTTGTCATTGGCTCCCTCCAATTTCAACTCCGTACACAACTTCTCAATGTACTGCTTGGCCTTCTCGTGATCTAAATCATCAACGCTGGCAAACTCAGCCCTCAGCTCGTCCATGCCAATATCCAACCCCATTGCAGCTCGTGATGTCGACAGGACCACGATGGGACACACGAGTGCCTCCTCGTATCCCCAGTGTTTCAGCATGAGAGCCAGGTCCTCAAAAGCTTTCGACGATGTGAACCGCTCGTTCACCTCCACTACAAGAACAGGGGGGTGCTCCAAGCTCCCTGGATTCCTGCGGATTTCCTTCAGTGCATTCACCACAACCTCGGTGTGGTCCACTTGCTTGTTTGTGTGTAGCCCCAAAGACTTAGTGATGGCACAAGCAAGCTCTTGATCCAATTGACTCTCCCCAGCAAGTGTTACAACCACGACCCCCTTCTTGTCTTCCAGAGTCTCCCTGACTGCTGCCGTCTTTCCACTTCCGCGCGGGCCACAAACAATCACTGTCTTCTGCTTTTCCTTGGCGGCTAAAATGTCCACGGCGTCGGGCAGGCCACCCCTTGCGATGTGCGGAGAGGGTTTCTTGGTTTTCGCTGGGTAGGTTGACTCGAGGATCTTCTTTTTGAGGGCGTTTGGGAGCGCCGGGCCAAACCATTTATTGTACTCTTGATGCGCCTTCCACACAGCAAACACGGCGGTGATGGTGCCGATCACGGTGCCGGTGATGCTGGTCGTGTCTTTGATCTTTTGCCACAGGGAGGTTGAGGAGGTTGTGTTGCCATGTGTACGTTTAATCAGATTGACAACTTGCAACATTTGCCTTGGGAGGGTTGGGGAGACCGTGATGCCACGTATAGGTTTAGTTGTAGTGAAGGCGGCCGGCCTGAGTCGTAGAGTTAGCAAACGAGAGGCTTGCAGGGAAAACATCCTGACTAGGGACGAAGGCTTGTTGACAGCTGGGGTTTGCAAAGGACAGAAGCTTTGAGGAGCTATCAATATGTGCCGTTCGGCAGCTTCAACAGCATGCTTATATATCCAACTGTTGTGAACGTATTCATTGCAGTCGTAATTGAAGAGTTACGTGAGAGAGTTGTGCTAACTGAGACTGGCGTACATAATGGATGTTTCTCCAAAAGGAAGTTTGCTCTGCACATTGTTACTTTGGACGTATGTGTAGTGTAAAAACATGTTTTTCAAAAAACCTCACATGACATGAGGAATGCCATAGTTCTCTGTATAACACAACATTACATCTCAGAGCAACTGTTTTCTCTCACATAGCCACTTTCTCAAACCAACATTGAAATGATAAAATTGATGAGGATGCAGTTCAATGCTGTACACAACGTGCTATCTACTGGTCCTAGTCTGTTCCAGTCTGGAAATAAGGGAAAAGAGAGTCTTTTTTTTGCGTGGACTGATGGGTAGGTTGACTTGAGGATCTTCTGTTTGAGGTCATTTTGGAGACCCCGGGCCAAACCGTCGGTTGTACTGCTTTCCATGCCACATGCGCAGCCAACACGGTGACGATGCTGCCGAGGCTTCCTGTTCGTTGTACAAGTGGAAAAGTGCACATCTCTAAAATGAAGGAGTAGCTCAAGACACGCAAAGGAAAGAACAAGGGTTCATTACACAGCAAAGACACACCATTATCTTTGTCTGATATTTTTCTACGATAATATAAAGATGATTGTGTCATATGTAGCTGTGTGTGTCTTTGCTGCGTAATGAACCCTTGTTTGTGTTTTGAGCCAATCCCTTATTCCACTCGTTTCCACTCTTTATATTCTATGACGACACTGCATTTTCTGGTGGCTCTCATGTGCATGGGTATGAGGTTGACGATAACCTGAGTGAAAGCACAGTCCACATTAGGAGCATTTGTAGTGACATGGAGTTGGGAAGACAGAGACACTATAATACAGAAAGCCCATAATTAGTGCACAGAGCTGTAACTTGTGGGCTGTTGCTACATGAAGCAAAACTGAAGGGCAGTATACTGATGCATAGCTCAATACACAGATGACATAGTACAGAGCCACCTAAATGAGTTGCCAAAAGGTTAAATAGGTTTTAGCATGTTTGTGGACAGTGGTGGTTCATGGGCAGGCTTTAGTGATGTTACCTACAAACTGGGGGAGGCTCCATGGGAATTAGCTCAGAGGTCAACAAGTTAGAATTTGTTTATGGTCAACTTCTCTACAACTTCTCTACAACATACCCATGCACTCAGAGAAGTCAATGCTGTGTGAGTTGTGTAAAAGTGAATTCTTGCATGGAGAACTGAGGGCACCTATATATAAAGTGTTTGCATATGTATAGCTAGACAGTGCACAAATCCAATTACGAGTTGATGTGCTCACTTGACATAGTCCAGTCTGGACTGACACATCTGATGGAATGGAACCAGAGAAATTGTGACCTTCGACCTCCGTCCACTCCCACAGAGCTTTTGACTCAAAAGGAAGTTTTGCTCTGCACGTTGTTATTTTGCAGAAATGTGACGTATGTGTAGTGTAAAAACACATCTGTCAACATTTTCAAACAACCTCACATGACATGAGGAATGCCATAGTTCTCTGTATAACACAACACATTACAGAGCAACTGTTTTCTCTCATATAGCCACTTTCTCACAAACCAACATTGATAATTATGAGGATGCAGTTCAATGCTGTACACACCGTGCTATCTACTGGTCCTAGTCTGTTCCAGTCTGGAATGAAAATAGCGCATTCCTAGGCCTGTTGCCAGTAGCAACACAGTCCCCAGCACCAGTAGGGATATGGAGGCGGGGTCAAGGATGGCCACACCCCTCAACTCTGCCAACATTAGACCTGACTGGACACAGAGAAAGTTGTAGGGCAGAAGACCTGTGTTTGTGTGTGCGTGTGTGTGAGAGAGAGAGAGCTCTCATTCCCAGCAGCAGACACATCACACACTCCCCAACATGCTAGTCTCAAAACATACCAAACCATATTCAGACAGGTCTCAGCTGACATTTCACTCAGTATCAGTGGGGCACAAACAACATTCCGAACTAAGAACACAAACAATATTCACAGCTCGACTGAAGTCACGCACCAAAGAGGACGGAGATGAAGAAGAGATGAAGGGGCACCCCGAGAAGTGGGGATGAGAGGTTGAGGAGCCAGTTTGGGGACATGGGGAACAGTCTCAGAGATAGGAGGACCAGCAACAGCTCAGTCCCCTTACTGGAGTGGAGCTGGTCACGACAGAGAGAAGGGTGAGTGTGTGGGGAGGTGAGTAGGAAATAAGGAAGGGAAAAGAGAGTCTGTTAATTTTTCTTCATATAAGACTAAGTTTTGAGTCACGAAATCTGCTGGTCAGCATTTTAATTGTTCTTAGCTCGTAACCCATGTTTTCTTATGGCATCTAGCATGAGTAACAACAACAAATTTCGTGACTCAAAACTTAGTCTTATATGAAGAACCAACCCAAATAATGAAGTAATGAAAGTGCAAACCCTCGGCGAACTGCGCATGCGCGGTACCGCTAATAGTATGCGTTTTGCGTTTACGTACTCGTGGTCTCCCGCTAGTAGCTTGCAGAGAGTCTGACACGGGCTAGCTACAGTAGTAGATAGCATGCGAGAGTCGATACACGCCATTCGTTGTGACTTCTTGTGCCTTCAAGATACACAGAGCAAGCGGACCCGGTCTAGGTAAGCTAGCCTGTGCTAAATATAAGCGCATGCGCATTTTCCGCAGCGATAAAAATGGCCGACTACGCTATGTAGCCGTACAATGCTTGAAGCGCTCTAGCTTTGCAACGGAGCATTTTCAGATAAAACCCCACAAATTTTCTGACCTTCGTTGCCCGTTGAGTAGGTCGTATCGTTTGTGAGACGAACAAACACTCCAGAAGTGAGATGTCCAGTAACAGACAAACAGACAGACCCAACTACCGTAACCCTCGCTGCGCATGCGCGCCGATGGTTAACAAGGGTTTTTGCCACTGAAACATCTATAGTGAATTGCGAAATGTCTCAGTTTAGAAAATTCATGTAGGGAATGAGGATTTCCTTCAAGTCTGCAGATGGATCTGTATACGTAAACACATGTGTTGTTGCACAGACTTAGTTGCATGGGACTATTGTCTCGTGTAAACATCGACATTTTCCTTGAAATGTGCCCAGGTTCATGATCCACAATCTCTCAGTGTGGGAATGTTCTGGTAATACTCTATTACCAACCCTGTCCTGGAGTGGAGTGAGACGGTGCCCCAGGTACCTGGTGACCAGCCTGCGACCAAAGACCAGGGAGAGGAGGTAGCAGAGAGATGCTCCACAGGCAGACAGGAGGCACACCAGAGGCAGGGCCACCCACACCCCAAACACTGCTCCCCCTAGAATGTTCTGGAACAACAGGACCATGATACACAGTCACTACCTCCTCCCCATGTGTTCCACAATAGTCTCAACTAAACCCTCACTTTCCCTCTCTTCTTGACCATTTCTGAGTCACTCGGTAACTTTTCAAAAAAAGTAAATGCTCATCGACCACCACTGTCTCAATGTCTATCCCTCCCTGCCCCTCATGTATGCACGAACAGCTAGCTTCTAGGAGTGGCCAACAAGCAGGCACTAACTAGGAAGACGGAGCCAGGGATGGCAAAGGTCTGTTTGTAGAGGTAGGCGGCAGAGAAGACACAGAGAACTCTGCCATAGTGCTCCTCCCTCAGTCTTTCCAGCTGGGAGGCCAGGGATCGCAGCTGGTCCATGTCAGAGGGGAACGACAGGGGAGGCCTGGGGATTAGGATGGGCCATGTTATATACTCCTTCATTCGTTGCTTGATATCATGAAATAGTTCTCCCTACTTCAAGCTATTATAGTTGAGTGAATGAATAGATCAGTGTTTAGGGAGATTCAGTAAAGTTCTCACCCATTTCTCAGCAGAGAGGCGGCCAGGGCATACAGAGACACAGTGGCAGCTGCAAAAGTCGCCAACACACCCACCAGTTCTCTTAGCATCCTCTTTAGCGCGTATCATACCCCTAGTGCGCCTGCGCGAAAAATAAGCGCCCACTCGTGGATAATGGAGCAGCGGCGGGGAGAAAGACGCTGACGTTCGTCACAGGCAACCCCAAGAAGCTGGAAGAGTAATCTTACATAACTCATCTGTATGGCAAGACTTAGAGCATGCATGATGCCGTTCTCTCACAGTATTAGCTGAACATGATCACCAGCCACACCCCCAAACACCTCGCAAATTTTTTATGTACACCAAATTTTAGTTCCCCAACTCTATATTTTTAGCTAACAACAGCTCAAATGTGCCTCTAGCAACACTGAGATATATTAGCCTCTCCTGCTCTCCTGTGTGTGAAATCTCTACAACGACAACAGCTGTACCCAAGTCAACGACAAAAAGCTGCGTTAGTGTGTGCTAGATTAGTTGCGCCTTATTCGAGTATTGTGTGATAGAATGCGTTGTATATAGTGCATGCATAGTCAGTATATCTTTTGTATAAGAGTATTGTGTGATAGAGTGTGTATATATAGTGCATGCATACGTCAATATATCTTTTGTGTTTGTCTGAGCAAGCTGGTGGAGTTTTTCTACCTGACATACACCATCAGATACTATACACTACATCTATGGCCATACTAGATAGATAGAGGGATAGAATCATTTACAAAGCAGGACTCCCCACTCTCTCAGAATACCGACAGCCTCAGACCTGCCAATGGCCATGAGGTACCGCGTCCTCCAGAAAACGTACAAACAGATGGTGGAGTGTACCAGTCCCTACATCCATGGACTGGGGCTGTTCTGCCGGAGAGACATTGAGGCTGGGGAGATGGTGATAGAGTACGCCGGCACCGTCATTAGGTCCGTCCTCACGGACAAGAGAGAGAAGATGTATGATGCCAGGGTAAGGATGCTTGGTAGAGAGCAACAGAACGACAGGGCAATAAGTGGAATCTACTACAACCAACATGTTACTTATGTCTGGGTTTTAGATGTGTACTTGTCCCTTCAATTACTCCTCCTTTGTTTTCAAGCTTCCCCTTTGCTGTCTCTATGACCTCAGCAAGCTACATTGCTGTCAGTCATAGCAAGTTTTCCCTTCTCAGTGGCTGTTTATGCAGTGTACTGTGAGGTCCATTATCTTTTTCATGCTCTCTGGAGTCAGCATGATGAACACAATAGGCATTAATTTTTTTTATGGGTAAGGCAAAAGGGGAGGAGAGAGGTGGGTGTGGTTTTGTTTCGTTTTCCACAGGGCATTGGTTGCTACATGTTCAGGATAGATGCAGATGATGTAGTGGATGCTACGATGTCTGGCAACGAGGCCAGGTTTATCAACCACTCCTGTGAGGTGAGTACTAGCATCTCTCTTCTAGCTTCAAAAAACTTAAAAACTTACTATACATTATGCATGCATTATGTGAGCACATTAGGTACTTTAGAAAATTGTGTTTCAAAGTGTGTGTAAGGTTCTGTTTCTACTTACGAGTTGGCACGCACTAAGTGAGGCTAACTCTCTCTCTCTCATCCCCTCAGCCAAACTGCTATTCAAAGGTGATAACAGTGGATGGACAGAAGAAGATAATGATATTTGCTCTAAGGAGGTCAGCCACGCACCAGCTCCATTATAATTATTTTACAAACAAGGCTAGATTGGCACATATGTATTTGACTTCACGGGTCACTTCCAATGTTACGTCCATAATCATGTAATTCCGTGTCAGTGTGTGTGGAGAGATTTGCACAATTGAATGCAGCATGCAAAGAGTTAACTTAGAAGCTCCTCCCACCACTGTAGGATCGTACCAGGTGAAGAGCTGACGTATGACTACAAGTTTCCTCTGGAGGAGGCCAAGATACCTTGCAACTGTGGCACTAAACGATGTCGCAAGACCATGAACTGACCACACCCCCTTCTCAGTGAACTGACCACACCATCTGACCACGCCCCCTCTTCTAGAACTGACCACACCCCCTCAATATGATGCTTTCTCTCTACTCTTTCCCTCTCTCTCAGTCTTTGATGCACAAGGTTTGGTGGCTGGTACTATATTATGGCCGTTTTCTCTTCTCACCAAATTTATCACCAAAAAATCTATTATCCTTGTGGAATTTTTGTTACATTTCACCTTATAAACCCTTCTGCAATTTTATTTCAAAGTGATATATACTATTGTTTGACCAGTTCAAACCATTCTCTGAAAAGTGTCTGCCTACACGAGGAGGAATATTATGTTTGCATGTTAATGCATACTAACCGGCCAGTTATAGAAGCACAAAGTATGTTTACCCTTTCAGCACGAGAGCTAATAATTATGCATGCCAGTCCATGGAGTCTGGTTCACACCATCGAAATACGTATCATAACGTATCAATAACATACACACAGAGACCATGTTTTAACAGCCTATGTTGAACTGTTACTCAGTGACCAAAACCTCCACCTGCTGCTCTTCAAGTTTGGCGTGATCGGTATCAATCACCTTCTGGACGAAGACAGACCCAACCACGACTGTCTGTTTTTTCGGGTCTACGTAGAAGGGGTGTGGCTGTATGTCGGAGAGGGCTTTGACAACAGTGGGCAAATCCTCACCGATCATCTCACTGAACTCATCCACGTCCACCGCCGCTCCAGGCTCCTTGAAAAGCCCATACAGATCCTTCTTGTTTGTATTCGGGAAGCGCTTGTGAAACCGTTTCAAGGCTCTCCTGCTGTCCTTGAGCATGCTGGTCTTGCGTTCAGTTGCGGACTGCACCAGAGCTTCCAAAGACACCTTTTTGGAAAACCTCACTTGGTCTGCAAAACTATCCAGGTGCAGCAGCCGAGTGCCCAAGAGTTTTACCACTTGCTTGGCACACTTGGAAACAGCCGCTTTGTCATTGGCTTTCTCCAATTTCAACACCCTGCACAACTGCTCGATGTACTCCTCGGCATCCTCGCGATTTAAGTCACCAACGCTGGCAAACTCGGCCCTCAGTTCCTCCATGCCAATCTCCAACCCCATGGCAGCTCGTGATGTCGACAGGACCACGATGGGACGCACGAGTGCCTTATCATGTCCCCAGTCTTTCAGCGTGAGAGCCAGGTCCTCAAGAGCTTTCGACGTGAACCGCTTGCTCACCTCCACTACAAGAACAGGGGGTTGCTTCAAGCTCCATGGATTTCTGCGGATTTTCTCCAGTGCATTCACCACAACCTCGGTGTGGTTCACTTGCTCGTTTGTGTTTAGCCCCAAAGACTCGGTGATGGCACGAGCAAGCTGTTGACTCTCGCCAGCAAGTGTTACAACCACGACCCTCTTTTGGCCTTTCAGAGTCTCCCTGACTGCTGCGGTCTTTCCACTTCCGCGCGGGCCACAAACCATCACCGTCTTATGCTTTTCCTTGGAGGCGAAAATGTTCATGATGTCGGGCAGGCCACCCCTTGAAATGTACAGAGAGGGTTTCTTGTTTATCACATAGGTTGACTTGAGGATCTTCTTTTTGAGGTCATCTTGGAGCCCCGTGCCAAACCATCGTTTGTACTCTTTCCGTGCCGTCCACACAGCTAACCCGGTGGCGATGCTGCCGATGCTTCCGGTGACAAGATTGACTTCTTTGAGCGTTATCCTCTGGAGACGTTCAAAAAAAACTTGCTTCAGGAGGGTTGAGGAGATTGTGTTGCCACGTATAGGTTTAGTCGTAGTGAAGGCGGCCGGCCTGAGTTGTAGAATTAGCAGACGAGAGGCTCGCAGGGAAAACATCCTGACGAAGGCTTGTTGACAGCTGGGGTTTGCAATGTGATATGACAAGCTTTGAGGAGCTATCAATATGTGCCGTTTGGCGGCTTCAACAGCATGCTTTTATATCCAACTGTTGTGAACGTATTCATTGCAGTCGTTGAGTTACGTGTTGTGCTAACTGAGACTGGTGTACATAATGGATGTTTCCCCAAAAGGAAGTTTTACTCTGCACATTGTTACTTTGGACGTATGTGTAGTGTAAAAACATGTTTTTCAATAAACCTCACATGACATGAGGAATGCCATAGTTCTCTGTATAACACTACATTACATCTCAGAGCAACTGTTTTCTCTCACATAGCCACTTTCTCAAACCAACATTGAAAAGATAATATTGATGAGGATGCAGTTAAATGCTGTACACAACGTGCTATCTACTGGTCCTAGTCTGTTCCAGTAAGGAAATAAGGGAAAAGAGAGTCTTTTTTTTGCGTGGACTGATGGGTAGGTTGACTTGAGGATCTTCTGTTTGAGGTCGTTTTGGAGCCCCGGGCCAAACCGTTGGTTGTACTCTTTCCATGCCACATGCGCAGCCAACACGGTGACGATGCTGCCGCGAGGCTTCCTGTTCATTGTACAAGTGGAAAAGTGCACATCTCTAAAATGAAGGGAGCAGCTCAAGACATGAAAAGGAAAGAACAATGGTTCATTACAAACCCTTGTTTGTGTTTTGAACCATCCCTTATTCCACTGCTCCACTCTTTCTCTTCTATGACGACACTGCATTTTCTTATTGTGGTGGCTCTCATGTGCATGGGTATGAGGTTGACGATAACCTGAGTGAAAGCACAGTCCACATTAGGAGCATTTGTAGTGACATGGAGTTGGGAAGACAGAGACACTATAATACAGAAAGCCCATAATTAGTGCACAGAGCTGTAACTTGTGGGCTGTTGCTACATGAAGCAAAACTGAAGGGCAGTATACTGATGCATAGCTCAATACACAGATGACATAGTTACAGAGCCACCTAAATGAGTTGCCAAAAGGTTAAATAGGTTTTAGCATGTTTGTGGACAGTGGTGGTTCATGGGCAGGCTTTAGTGATGTTACCTACAAACTGGGGGAGGCTCCTTGGGAATTAGCTCAGAGGTCAATTTGTTTATGGTCAACTTCTCTACAACATACCCATGCACTCAGAGAAGTCAATGCTGTGTGAGTTGTGTAAAAGTGAAGAATTCTTGCATGGAGAACTGAGGACACCTATAAACTGTTTGCCATAGCTAGACAATGCACACTTTGGCTGAGGTCACAAGCAGCACTAAAATATTTAGCATTTTCAGTTCCAATTACGAGTTGATGCAATAGTCCAGTCTGGACTGACACATCTGATGACCAACCGAGACAGAGAAATTGTGACCTTCGACCTCCGTCCACTCCCACAGAGCTTTTGACTCAAAAGGAAGTTTTGCTCTGCACATTGTTATTTTGCAGAATGTGACGTATGCGTAGTGTAAAAAACACATGTCACATTTTCAAAAAAACCTCACATGACATGAGGAATGCCATAGTTCTCTGTATAACACAACACATTATAGAGCAACTGTCTGTCACATATTATACAAGTGGAAAAATCATTTCTTCAAAATGAAAGGGGGATATAGGGATGGCTTGAAGCACCAAAAAGGAAGAAACAAGGGGTCATTACACGGCAAGTTGCACAAAGCTACATGACACA